TGTATCTATAGTTTTTAATTTGAAATAATAAAATTTGAAAAATTTGTCAAAATATGCAAAATAAACATAATTATATTAAAATAAGCACTCTTCTGCAAAATCTATCAAATATGCAAAAATATGCACATTCAAATTTTAGATTTGATATCATGGCACCGAAAAAAGAATTTATTTCGCACTCTGTTATATTTAGCAATAATTAAAAAAAGTATACAAATGCTAGAAGTCCCTAAGCCTAGTGATAATGATATGAATAATAGTTTATATGTATACACGTGTATCATATGTTATATTATTAAATTGAGTATTTAAATTATTAAAAAGGAATATAATAAAATAAAATAATTTTACTAGTCATTATTAGTTTGAAGTTATCCCCCACACATTAATACATTCTATCTTAAATGAAAGTACACTGATATCCCTGAACGATGTGATATGTAGCATGATATTAGTATCACTATTCGCGATTATTCGTGACATTACGTGATATGAGAGGAGCGTCTAAATACAGAAATGCACCTTATGCATTCTACGCATGCGCGTAATTTATTCACCACTATCATAATGTTAGGCTGTTATTTCAAATCACTATAACACGATAATAATATTATTATAACAATATAAGTTTTGAATCAAATTTTCAAAATTTGAACATACTACTTACATATTTTACTCTTTTTTTTGTGCTTCGACCACTTCAGTAAATAAATCATTATACATACCAGATACATTTGAAAAAAAAAATCAAAACAGCAATAACTATCTAACAGACTTGGTTAAAATACTTTTTAAAAGTATTTAGTATAAATACTCGAATATTTACAAAAAATAGTATTCCGAATATGTATTCAAATACATTATACAAATTGTATTCCAAATACATTATTTAGAATACTTCAAAAGTATTCCGAATACTTTTAAAATACTTCTAGTTTTCGTACTATAAAAATAATGAATGGCCAATTAACAGAAATATTTAAAATTGTAGACTAAATATACGTTATTGTATTGTATTTTTATATTACGAGTACATAATTGTTATAGTTTATGATTTACAACAATAATAAATACCTGATATTACCTTATACAAGATACGACGGAGAAATAATAAAATCATTTAAAAAGAGATGATTTAACGGTATTCGAAATACAGTATTCAGAACACTTGTTATAAGTATTCAAAATACTTTATTGAGTACTTTCAAAAAAAATATTTAAAAAGTTTTCGAAAGTATTCTGAACAAAAAAGTATTCTGAATCAGTATTCCGAATATTGTATTCGGAATACTATCCAAGTCTGCTATCTTATATGTTGAGATGGCTTTTAATAATGTTTATTTATATCAACATTTATCCAATTACCTATTTGAACATTTCATAAACAGACTTTATCAAAATTTACTATACAAAGGCTATTTACTTAATGTTTTATTGATTATTAACAATACAATTCACAAACATCTTAAACATAAAAATTCAATATTATCTAATATCTATATAAATGACAATTATCTTAATAGTAAGTACAAGTATGAATTATTAAAATCAACTAGTGTAGTGTGCCGAGTTGTGAGTTCATATCGGTTACACAGTATTAGGATATAAGGATTTTAGAGTTAGATTAATAACTTCATCAAGAATACTTATTACGGTATTACTGATATTTTACTTAACACTTTTTAATTTAACATCAACATAGACAAAGTAAATGATAGTAACAAATATAAGCGGAGCGTATATACTGGATGGCTGGATACATTTGGTTGCTAATGCTGTTTCTCAACTATTTCCTATTCGAAATTTTGCGATTCGTACGTGGTTCATATTACATCTATTAATTTGTTTATGGTTATAATTGTAAATTGTAATTACATAGGAACTATAAAATACGTATGAAAAGATATAATGTATACATAGTACATTACACTAGATTTGAAATTAAACATCTTAATAATATACTACTACAAAAAAAAAAAAAATATAACGAAACTAAAAATTATTATTTAACAACTAAAATAAAATGACAATGTATTATTTACATAAGAAGTAGATATGCAGTTAAATTTTGAATAGTTTGATTCATAACTCATATTATTATCGTATTATAGTGATTTGATATTATATATTGATAACAGCCCATAGAGTAACTTTATTGAACAGCCCACAGACATATATATTAAACTAGATAGCCGACTATGTATAGACTATGCATACAAATATGAGGCCTGGTCGCCATATGCAGGTTGGGCAATGTTTACAAAATATGGATGTTATCAATCCTCGTATTATTAATTAATCAAAATTCTAATTGCTTTTTGTATAACGGTAAACTTTTGTGACTCGAAAATCGTCTTATGTTTTGCTGTAACTTTACTGAATTATATTTATTGTACAGTTTTTATATCCAAAAACACATTATGGTGTGTTAATTATTTATGTAAATATGTATATATTTATATTTATGTATTGTTATGTTAACACTTGATAATTTATTGAATCTTTTATTATTATATAATATATTAATTTATTTAATTTAACCTGATTTCTTTGTATGTGCAACATTAAATAAATATTACTTACAATATACATTATACAAATAGGTAATTGTACATTTTTAGATTTGAAAATAAAAATTGTAGGTGCCTACCTATGCAATTGTTCACAGTTTTCTAGTGGTGCAATTGCTAAATTTTCAAAGGCCAATATACACTATTGATATTGGGCACTCAGTTATGGTAATTGAGTGTTACACAATAATAAATATTATTTTTTTACCAATAGAATAATAAAAATTAAATATTTGAAATTTGATTTTTTATAATCAGTTACTTATCACTATGATCAATAATGATAACAAAGTGTAAACATTGCCCAAACTGCATATGGCTGCCAGACTTCAATAATTTAAAGGATTCGGCTATCTAATTATATATATATATTTTTTTTCAATCCGGAGATTGGTTTTTAACAAATGTTTTACAATAAATGACTTCTCCATTTTTCTCTATCATTTGCCATATTCTTAAGCTCCCTGTAGGAAATGACTCCTGCATCTTGTATTATTTGACTGATGTATCTCGTCCTAGGTCTTCCTCTTGATCTTGTACCCTCTATCATACCTTCGATTATTATACTATGCAGTTCATCTCCATGCCTCAACGTATGTCCTATCATCTGCCATCTCCTTCTCTTTATGGTGTCTATCAATGATCGTTTTTCATCTATTGTTCTCAGGATATCTTCATTTGATCTTCTATCAGTCCAGCTTATTCTCTGCATTTTTCTCCAACACCACATCTCGAGAGCTTCTAACATATCTTTTTCTTTCTTATTAATTGTCCAGGTCTCACTTCCGTACAATGCCACACTCCAGACTTATATTTTTATGAACCGTTTCTTCGTTGCTATGTTCATATTTTTTGATGTTAATATTTTTCTCTTTTTAAGGAATGTATTCTTTGCTTGACCTATCCTGCTTCTGATTTCTTTAATTGATTTTCCGTCGTCTGTTATAATGCTGCCTAAGTATTTAAAATAATCTACTTGGATAATTTCTTTGTTTTCTAATGTTATATTTATAGATGGTACGTTTTTCTTGTAACATACTAAGGTTTTGGTCTTGGCTGCATTTATTTTCAGACTATTCTATATTCTTTAAACATAATATTCATTACATTTAGTGCTGCTTGTAAGTCTTTCTCAGATGTTGTGAGAACGACTATATCATCAGCAAAGCGAAGCATTGGTATTAGTACCCCTTCTATTTTTACTCCGATTCCTTCTTGTTCTAACCGAAGCTTTATGAAATTTATTGCTTTTTCAATAAATACATTGAACAATGCAGGTGAAAGTGGGCACCCTTGTCTCACACCTTTTTGGATTCTAGCAGTCACTGTTGTTTTATTAATGTTGATAATGGTTTCTTGTTCTTCATAAATCTTATAGAGAATACGCCTGTCTTTAAAATCTATCTCTGTTTCTTCCAAAATTTTAAAGAGACTTGCCCAATTTATGCTATCGAATGCTTTTTCCAGGTCTATAAAAGCCATATAAGTGATTTTTTGTCTCTCAATTTGTTTTTCAATTATTACTCTCAGACCTAAAATAGCCTCCCTGGACCCTTTGTTTTTCCGGAAACCATATTGGTCATTGTCTAATCTAGCTTCTATCCTTTTACTAATCCTTTTGCTTACAATTATTGTCAGCAATTTAGTCGCATGCGATATCAAGCTTAGGATCCGGAAATTTTCGCACTGGTTGGCTCTTGGTTTTTTTGGTAGGATAACTAATCTACTACATCCAAAATCTCTCGGAATTTTCCCAGTCTCGTATATTTGACATAACAGTTCGTAAAGGGCGTTCTTTATTTCATCACCTGACTGTTGTAGGAGTTCTGCGTTTAGTTTGTCTGGGCCTGGTGCTTTATTTTTCTTCATTAATTGAAGTGTGTCTTCAAATTCTGATTTTAGGATCCTTGTATTTGCATTTAAATCAAAGTCACCGTCGGTTAGGTTCTCAACGAGTAATTCGGTGTTTTCTTCTTCTCTGTATAGTTCTTCTACGTATTATTTCCATCTATTCGCTATCGCTATTTCATCTATAAGTAAATTTCCTTCTTTATCCTTTACGTGTGTGACTTTTTTTCATTAAAGTATCGTTTGATGAGTTTGTATGCTTTGTCCAGTTGATTGCATTTCATCATATTGTCTATTTCTTCACAATTCTTTTCGATCTACTTCTCTTTGGCTTTTTTCGCTTCACGGTTTATTTTATTTCTTAACGTCTTATATTGTTTTTTACTTTCTTCATCTGTTTTGTTTTTAAGCAATCTTCTTCTTTCTATATCTTGAATTATTTCCATTGTTATCCATTCGCGTTTCGGTATTGGTTTCTCCCTATTTAATACTTCTTCTGCAGACTGGACAATAGATTCTTTTATACAACGCCACCCATGTTCTATATTATAACAGTCATCTGTCTTTGGCTTACCTTTGATATCAAGTTTTTCTTTGCATTTTTTTTTCGAACAGTTTTCTTATTTCTGGTTGCTTTAGTTGACACAAATTCCAATCATGACCTTTATTTTTCGGTCTTTCTAATTTCTTAAATTTCAATAAGGATTTGATCATTACCAGGTTGTGATCACTGTCAATATCAGCTCCTGGGTAAGATTTACTCGATTTGATCTGGTTTTTATATCTATTCTTTACCTAGTCTAATATAGGATATAGTCTAATTGGTATCTGTTAATATCACCTGGCATTTTAAATGTGTAGCGTCTTCTTTTATGATTCATGAATAAAGTATTAGTTATAATTAAATCATGTTGTCTACAGAATTCGACAAGACGATCACCTCTTTCATTCCTTGTTCCGAGTCCATATTTACCAACTTCTCTGCCGTCTATATTTTCACCCACAATCGCATTCCAGTCTCCCATGATAATTAAATTTTCCTTACTATTTGTGAGACTAATGAGTTCTTCTATCTTTTCGTAGATCTCTTCCACTTCTCCGTCGTTCGCTTGTGTTATGGGCATATATGCTTGTATTATTGCGATGTCATTGGGAACTGATTTTAATTTGATCATTATGTAGCGTAAACCACGTATGTGTCGCCACCTAGTGGTGTCCGATTATGCAACCGACACCGACGCACCCGCTCTCTTTGATATGCGCGGCGCGTCGTACCTTTCGCGTCATTTAATACCCAATATAGAGCGCTCTTTTTTCACTGACGATTTTCTTTCCGAACTTCCTTTTACATTTTCTAATCTATCAAATTAATTTCGTGATCTCCACTGCTAAAAAATCATCAATATATATCTGTAAGCACTTCTCGAAACTACTCCGCGTCACAATACATCTTCAATTTAAAAGAAAAACTAAGAAAAACCAAAAACATCGCCAATCCACACTCTGCTATACACATCCAGATCTTACACGCTTAAATACCCTAACGAATAAACTCAAAATCACCTCTCTTGCAGTTGTCCAGTTGAACTTCTACGGGTACTATGCATATAGAATATAATTAGTTGTATTTCACTGTATGTTACATAGTTCTCCGTAGATAAGTAAACCTAACAACTTGTCAGTTGAACTTCATCAACTGTGACATCGTCAACTTCCCTAGCAATCAGAACATTAGCCGCCATCCACAGTGCCACTACCAGTTGTGTTTTATTATTTATTATTACCAACTCAATCCAGGACATCCCACCGCTGGTTCAGCCGCCCGACACTTTTGCCGCGAACAAGCCAAGCAGCTCTTACGGTTTGGGAGGAACTGTTCTCCATCAATCATTTAACATTTAAAACTAAAATAATCAGTAATATATCTTCATATAAATGCTATATATGTTTGTGTCATATTTGTAATTTTATTCATAAAAAATAAAAATAAATATTATTATCATCTATTTATATAAAAACACTGTCTAATATACTTGGAAATATATATATATACGTATACCTTGACAATCCGACACATAGAGGAGAGTCAAACGTTACAATTATCAATTTATCATCGTAAGCTATGTAACTTTTCACACATTGTGTCCATTTTTTATTCAGAATAATGCCAACTCCATTATTTCCATTGTCACCACCGGAGTAAATGACTCTGTAATCTCCCGATATAAAGTCACCTTGACCATTCCATCTCATTTCACTTATTCCCAAAATATCAATTTTGAGACGTTTCATCTCAATCTTAAGATTTTCTAGTTTCCCTGTTTGTAACAGGGTTCTGACATTCCATGTTCCTATCATACTACAAGGATTTCGCTTGGTGACGATCTGAGGTACCTTGTTTGGCCTCCTGCCGGGAATAACCTCTCCGATAAGGTCGTTTCCATACATGTTATCATTTATTGTGCTGGTCATTTGTTATTTGACTAAGGAGATTAATGTGGTGGTTTCCTCTTGCCTTCCACATCGCAGTGTGGTAGCCGTGTTCACGGTCTCCATGCACGCCTACTACTTCTACCTGGCTATAGCTGTACCTGCTTACGAAGCATCCACCTATTGCCAATACTGAAGGCGCTGCTACTCACCTTCAGGTCCATTTTTGTCGCCTCTTACGACAGGCATGGACTACGATGGGTGTATTCTGGCCCCCTATCCACAGGGGGTCTAATTATATATATATATCTGTAAAACAGCCTAACATTATGATAGTGGTGAATAAATTACGCGCATGCGCAGAATGCTTAAGGTTCATTCCTGTGTTTAGACGATCCTGATATGAGGGAAATTATTTGTGAGCTTGCGTGATGTCATAATATTTTAGTAATGCGATAAAATTTACAAAAAAGAAATATTTAAATTCGTTATTTTGTCTACATGAGATCGATCAAATCACATTTCAACTTTTTATTTTTATTTGGAACAATCAACATTTAAAATTTCTTACATTTTAAAATATTCTAACCAAATTTATAGTTACGAATTAAAATTTGAAAAATTAAAGTGATCAATCTCTCAAGTACTAATGGTATAAGTATAATAATCTGAGTCTTATACGTACACATAATAAAGAATTTAAAACAGTTTTAAAAATACTTATCATGTAATGTATTACTCGGTAGATCGGAAAAAGATTGGTATGTTTTGGTTGAAATAATTGACCGTTTGCAAATCCTTGAAAACTCCTTGGTATCACAACGTTATCGTACCGCTATATTTATATAAATATATTACGAGTTTCTATAAATTTCCATTAGTTTTTTTTTTACAGAATATTTCAAAACTTTCACGTGTATAATATACACTGTATATGCATTTCGTATTACCTACACGTCACGAAGATTTTAGTATATTCTGTGATCACTTCAACTACTAATGCAGAAACAGATTTCACCAGACTCAGACAGTCGTTTATCAAATACGGGAAAAATAACCGGTAGTGGTAATGCATTATTTTTGATAATTGAAATAATGGTAACTGTGTCATTAATTATTATTGTAATTTATTTTATAACCGATAAAAGTCAGCAGAGCAGCGTCCATGGAAAGAAAAAGCTTGGGGACCACCAGAATATAAAAAAATATAATATATTATATGTTATATACATATAATATATTATAATATTATATGTAATAAATAAATTACATATTAAAATTAGGAAATCATATATTTTTCATGTCATTAACTGGATATACGGTTTTCTATTTTTGTCGTTCAATTAAGTTATTCAGGTTTTATGTGCATCGATTTTATTTATCTTATTTATTTTTCAATTAAATTATAATTAATAATTTTATAATATTATGTAAAATCTTGGATTGTATTTATCCATCTTAAAAGTGAAATTTCAAATTTGATCTAAATAATAGTCCAAAAAAATATAAACATTTTTTTTTGAAAAATCGTACTTTACCGATAAGATTAATTAAATATTAGTATACTCGTATACATAATACATCAGGGTCATGTACTCAACCGATTCAGATTGAATTGTTACAAAATCTAATAAAATAAATCTCTCCACTTTTTATTCTTCTAAACCTCCAATCTCACCAACTACTCAAACAACTTCTGAACAAATTTAAAAAAATATTTTCGCTTCGAAAAATCGTTAAAAATCAGGCTCCAAATTTCTCCACTCCCGTTGTAGAGCAAATTATCACTGACATTGATGTACTTTTACTCTAAGGCAAGCAAATTGCCCAAATGTACTTCTTTATAGCATACCTGTCCCTTCATCACCCTCAGTAAAATTACTTGGTCTAACACTTGACCAACGCTTAACCTGGCCTCAACATCTACGTGAAAAAAAATTCCTTTAACATCCGATTACGTATGCTTCAGTATTTAATTGGTAATAAAGCCACCCCTAATTATATCAAACTCTTTATGTATAAAACCTTATTAAAACTCATATGGATATACGGATTGCAATTATGGAGAGCTACTAAGAAATCTAATCTGAATAAGATACAAGTTTTTCAAAATATGACCTTAAGGAAATTAGTTAACGCCCCTCCATACGTGTCGAACCATACCCTTCATACAGAATGTAACTTAAAAACTATTCATAACAAAGCTAAACTTTTAACTAATTTTTAACTGTCTATCTTCCCATTCAAATCCTCTCAACAAGAACTTATCATCCTTCACAATCCCAAATAGCCCCCCAAAGTGACTCAAAAGCAAATGGTGCAGAGATTTATTTATTACTTAAAAAAAAAAAAAAAACTACACATAATTAAATCAGACAAGATTTAACCAAATTTGATTTGCCAGACACTGGTTAGGCATTTTTTTTTTTTTTTTTTTTTATAACATTTTTTGAGGGATTCGTAAATATACCTTTTTGAATAGATTATCAAACCAGATGGAAATCGTGGTCTGAATAGTTGTTGTTTTGAAAAATTTCGGATCACGAACGGCAAAAATTATTGTTTAAAAAAAGAGTGTAAACATATCGTTGCAATACCTATGCACGCGTACGCATAGTATACGTCTATATAATGTATTTCATTATTATATTATCAGTGTTGGGACTTATCTAGATAGATTTTTTGTCATCTTTTATCTTATCTAGACAAATAACGCTCAGTTATCTAATTACTTATTTAAGATAAAATATTTACTTATCTAGATAATTGTCTGAATTCTCGCCAAGATTAAAGTTATTTTTATTCTTGTATGGAGACGAATCTAATAAATCAGAGATCATCAAAATCGGTCCAGCCGTTCTTGAATTATAAATTCTGTAACTAACCCGACTTTTATATATATATATATATATATATAGATTTTGTATTCATAATTATAATTCGTGTATTATTAATAAGTAATTCTTATTTCTTGGTATGACATTTTGTTTGTATTTTCATGCCGGAAAAATATCTTTAGTATTTCTTATTTTTCCATGGAAGTTCCAAATATAGTTATTATTATTATATATATATATTTGATTTTAGTATACCCACGTAACTCATACACTAAATAGTCAACACTTCACTCTTGGAACCTATAAAGTCGTAAATAATAGAATAATGAAAATCATCAAATTGGGATTATATGGAAAACAATATTGTCAACTTAAAATAATCTGTTATTCTGTATTCATCTTAATACTAAGCAATTTTCATGGTTTTTTTTTTGTGTCAGTTTAGTGATTAATTATCATTAAATACTGTACTTTATATATAAATACTGCTTAATGGTACACTACATTACTACAAAAAAACTACATTACTACATTACTACATTAAACACTTAGGTACCTATTGATAATGATGATTATAATTGTGTCTTCATAGATATTATTACAAATACGAAATATTGACCAACAAATAAATTTTTTTAAAAATATCTTTTTTTTTATCTAAATAAAAATGAAATTATCTTTTATCTTTATCTAGATATTTTAATTTTTTTTATCTATTATCTTTATCTAGATGAATTTGGACATATTATCTTTCATCTTTATCTAGATAAATTTTGCATTATCTATTCCCAACATTGTATATTATACATGAGAACATATAATGTTCGCTTCGCTCGGAATCTCAAATGTTGCACGCGAAGTAAGACAATGTATAAAACAGGATGAGATCTAAATCCCATTCATATACGTGTATAACCTCATAAACACATCACTAAACTGTTCAAACACACGTAAATAGTTTTAGAAGAGCTCATGCCCCCTCCTAACCTTTTAGCCGTGCTTACGGCGATATTGTATATGTATATTAATGAGTAAAAATGTAACAAAAAAAAAAAAAAAAAAAGAAAAAGAAAAAGACGTGATGAATAATATATAAAAAATAAACCACTGTGGGATCTGCACGTCTACGAATATATTAAAATTTGCAGTACGGAGACTTGAGCTCAACATTTTATTGTTATATAACTCCCGTACGGACTGTCGTTCACGTAAATCGTTCGTGAAGTATTCATATAATATGGTACACGCGTTCGCAGATTGCAAGCGAATTTAACTATACTGTTCTCATAAAATATTTCGAAAGTACTGAATACCTAGATCATTGCCCAGTATTAGGCCAGGGGTGCTTAAATTTTTTTAATTTTTTTTACATTCGACCAAGATGGTAGGGAAACAATGTTGTAAGTACATAGCTGTGAGAAACCATGAATTCATTTTAAAATGTAATAAGAAATTGATTTCCCATATTAGACTAATATAACTAAGCACAGAGAACTAAATGAAAATCAATTAATTCAATGATCGACAAGAATTTGCTGCCACGTTTTATACCTATATGTGATGGTACAACTATATGATGCTGACTGTAACGAATAAAAGTTTGGTCATATGACCTGACTGGAAATGACTGGCAGGCCTGATTCAAGGGGTAGGTAATATAGGCCCATGCCTAGGTTGGAATTTAATATTTTTATACTATTGATAGGTAATATAAAAAAAAAAAAATATTACGATTTCTATTACCTATTTATATCAAATTTTGTGTAGTAAAAAATAAGACTATAAATTGTTTTGTTCTGTTTAAATTAGAAGTGGTGTATTGTCCACAAATGTATTGATCAAATACATAAATATAATGAACTCAGAATTAAGTCTAATTTACTATTACTTATATATAAACACAAAAATTGTTAGCGTTTTAGCAGTGCTGCGCGTACGACCAGTGACTACTAATCATTTGCACCAAAGAAATGTGGCGAGGAGGATCAATTATATCTCGAAACTATTAACCTCCCCATAATTTCTACCTTATTATATAAGAAAAAATAAATGATAACCTAAATTTAATATAGAATAATTGCACCTCCCACTTTGAATGTCAACATTGTCATAATGGAAAATTGATAACTATCGTAGTAATCTGCGAAACAAAACAATCATAAATTTTAATGAAGTTCACAA